CCTCCTGTGCTGAATCTTGCTGGAGGTGGTTTTCTTCGGCACTCTCCGGAGTATTATTATCTCCCGTGCTGGAATCACCGTATTTGCTTTGGCGGGATTTTGAGCGGCGCCGCTGACGGCAGCGCTTAGGCTGTTTCTTGGAGGGGTCATCCTCCGTTGTTCCATCGCCATCTCCTTCTTTTGGGGTGTCCACCATGTATATGTCATATGACGAGGTGGCTTTACAGGGCCCGATAGGCACTGGTTCTTCATTGTCTCCTGCATCGGCGTCCATACCGTCTATGTCTTCGGAGTCGAAGTCGAGCATGTCGGTTAAATCGTCGACAGTGGCTACAAAGTGGGTGGTGGGTGGGCTTTGAATTTCTTCATCGTCCATATCCCAACCTTGCTGACCGTAGTCCGGCCAGGGCTCTCTTGATAAAGAGAGAGACTTTAGTGTCTTCAAAATATCACGGAAAGGCGAGTGCTGAAAGATGTCCGCGGCAGTAAACTCCATGATCGGCGCCCAATCGGATTCGATTGGCAGGGGCGCGGAGGGTTCGGAGTCCGGAGAGGAGTCCGGCTCCTTGGAGTCACGAGTCTCGCGGAGTGTGGGGCTGGTGTTCGGCTCGATCGCCGTTGGGATCGCAGCCCCCGAGGCGGCGTCCAACCACCCATCCTCGATCGGCGCAGTTGGCTCCGAATTAGGGGTCGAAGCCGATGCGGGTGCGGCCTCCAGGGCACTGTTCGACGGCAGAGCTAGATCATGCTCGTCGTGACAGTGCGGCGCGCTCGGCAGTGGCTCGAATCCGTCGAAGATCAAGTCCCCGCGGATGTCAGCCGTGTAGTTTAAACTTCCAAATCTGACCTGACGGCCAGGGGCATAGCTTTCGATCTGCTCCAGATGGCCAAGTAAATTGGCCCGCAGTGCGAAGCCGCCGAAGACGAAGATCTGTCCGAGGAGGAGGGTCTCACCCTGGACTGCATCGCTATTGATGATCGTAGGAGCCATCAAGCCTAACGGCGACGACACAGAGGAACTCTCAATGAAAGCACCAATGTCGGTGTCAAAACCGGCGGATCTCGGGTAGGGAGTCCCGAACTGTGCGTCTAGGCCGGATGGTAACAGGAGGCAAGGGACACGAAGTTTTACCCAGGTTCGGGCCCTCTTGATGGAGGTAAAACCCTACGTCCTGCTTGATTAATATTGATGATATGGGTAGTACAAGAGTAGATCTACCACGAGATCGGAGAGGCTAAACCCTAGAAGCTAGCCTATGGTATGATTGTTGTTCTGTATGTTGCCCTATGGACTAAAACCCTCCGGTTTATATAGACACCGGAGAGGGTTAGGGTTACACAAAGTCGGTTACAATGGTAGGAGATCTATATATCCGTATCGCCAAGCTTGCCTTCCACGCCAAGGAAAGTCCCTTCCGGACACGGGATGAAGTCTTCAATCTTGTATCTTCATAGTCCAGGAGTCCGGCTGAAGGTATAGTCCGACCATCCGGACACCCCCTAATCCAGGACTCCCTCAGGTAGCTTTTTGTTGGGCACTCGAAGCTGTATTCTTCGGCAGCTAGGACCTTGGTCCATTTGTCATTGAGCGTATCCTGTTCAGCTTGAAACTGTTGATGTTTCTTTTTCAGGCTCCTCGCAATGGCGATAAGTTGTCGCTTGAAGCGTTCTTGCTCAATGGGTTCCTCTGGTATGATAAAATCTTTGTTACCGAGGCTAACATCTTCCTCAAAGATCTGTAGATAGTTACTATCTTCCAAATCCTCGTGATCGACAGGTTCGCCTGGGTTGACTTGTCCTTCTTCCCATTCATCCCGCTCGAGGGCAGGCTCGACGGGGTGGTCAGAGTCTTCAGTGTTGTCCGGGGTGTTATTGTCTCCGGTGCCGGTATTACTGTCCTTTTCCCGACGTGATCGTGAGCGGCGCTGCTGACGTCGGTGCTTTGGTGGTTCTTTGACGGGCTTGTCCTCGATCGGCTCCTGAGTGCCATCGTCGTCCTTCTTTTTGGGCGTATCCACCATGTACACGTCGTATGTAGAAGTGGTCGTCCAATGTCCAGTGATGGGTCGGTTTTGGCCTGATTCAACTCCGGCATCGTCCACCATGCCTTCGATGTCCTCGGAGGCGTAATCCAGCATGTCGGTTAGGTCCTCGATAGTGGATATCAAGTGGGTGGGACATAAAATTCCCCGCTCTCAGCCCCTAGTTCGGGCTAGGCGTAGTTCGGAGGTGATACTTCCGTAATGGCGAGAGATCGCATTAAGTCCAGAGCCTAGCGAAGCCTGGACGGGTGACTGAGGATCTACGGAGCTGGGCATGGCAAATGCCACCTGACTGTGCTCAATGGACGTAGACCTCGAGAGTTCGGAGTTAGCATTCGGAGGTGAGTCCGATTTCCTGATGACAGGGAGAGTCCTATTTGATTCCGGGCCTGCCGAAAATATGGTCACCTCTGGGTCTCCGACAAGGAGCTCCGTAGTACGAGAGGGTCCGGCGAGGTTCATACTCCCGTCTTCGGACAGGGTGGTCCGCTCTGGATCTAAGGCCAGGGCAGGAACCGTAGTTGATCCTTGAACGGAGCTTGATGGTGGATCCGACGGGTTTCCTTCTTGTAGATGAGGAATAGCGATCGAGGTCGAGAACCCTTTGAAGATCAAGTCTCCTCGGATATCAGCGATATAATTCAGGCTTCCGAACCTGATCTGATGACCAGGGCCATAGTTGTCGATATGTTCAAGGTGACCGGTTGAATTGGCACGCAGAGCAAAGCCGCCAAACACAAAGAGTTGATCAGGGAGAAAAGTTTCCCCAGAAACAACATCGTTGTCGATGATCAAACAAGCCATCTAACCTTCTGCCGATGACACAGTGGAACTCTCAATGAAAGCACCAATGTCGGTCTCAAAATCGGCCGATCTCGGGTAGGGGGTCCCGAACTATGCGTCTGAGGATCGAAGGTAACAAGGGAACACGATGTTTACTCAGGTTCAGGCCCTCTTAATGGAGGTAAAAACCCTATGTCCTGCTTGATTATATTTTATGAGTATAGGGGTTACAAGAGTTGATCTACCACGGGATCATAATGGCTAAACCCTAGATGTCTAGCCTATATGAATTCTGATAGCCTCCGCGGACTAAACCCTTCGGTTTATATACACATCGGAGGGGCCTAGGGTTGTATAGAGTTGGTTTGTAGAGGAAGGAAATTACATATCCGGACACCAATCTTGCCATCCACGCATAGGAGAGTCTTACCCGGATACGGGAAAAAGTCTTCCGCTTTGTATCTTCACGGTCCACCAATCCGGCCTATATCAAATAGCCCGGACACCCGAGGACCCCCTAATCTAGGACTCCCTCACATTGACATCAAATTGTCATGGTCCATTGTTCAGTGCATGCTTCCAGCCCCCCTCACTCCCAAAATGAACAACGAAGATGTTGCCTCCTATATCCTTGAATTAGGCTTTATTTGTGTAGTCCCCATGCTTTTTGCATCACTATCTCGAAAGCACAAATATTCAATGGGCAGAAATAGAAAACTTTCCATACAACAGACCACTCCTTCGCCATAGGCGTTGCGGGACCTGAATCCATGAACACCAACCATCAAGATCGGCCCTTCCGACCTTGTTGAGAGCATCACAACTTCCTCCGATTGTTTGCCTTCTACAGGAGATCTAGAAGGGGCCCTGTTGCAAGATCCAAACCCTTCAGGCCCTCTTTGATTCACGGGATTCTCAAAACACGGGAATAGAAAAAATAAAAGGGTTGGAGTGGCATGTCCACTTGAATCCCATAGGATTATCACAAAGTGTTTGATGCCAGAGGAAAAACAAAGAAAGTGAAAAAAGAGGTTGGAGTGGATGCTAGATTTCCAATGAAATGTAGTACACATGATTCTATAGGAAAAGTTCCTATAGGGTTCAATCTTATGAATCAAACGACCAATGTAGGAAAAATTCCTAAGGATTCTAACCCTCCAAACATCCTATGAAATTCCTTTAAATCAAAGGAGCCCTCAGTCTTTTCGGGTTTTCACTTGGGGAAATGCTGCATGGACCTGTCGGCAGACAAAATCCATGCGCAGCAGCAACCACCGTTCTGTTTTAGTCGGCAGGACAAGGATGGCGTTGAAAAAACCTCGGCCGTGAGACTAGCCACAATGGAGAGTAACATACACTAGTAACATACACATATCCCTAGACTATGTTACTACCTTCATATTGGATAGTAACATAAGTGTGGTAACATATAAAGCTTCATTTATTAGGTTATAGACTCATATTGCATTAGAATATGTGATGTTACAGTAACTAGCTAAGTTACTGAGACTATCTTTCTCCTCATTAACTCATTGCTACATAAACAAATTTGCTGAGTTGGACGCGATGTTACTGCTGAAGTTACTCTCATTGTGGCTACTGACTAGTCTGATGGAGAAGCAGCAACCTACCTCTCTACCTGGATCAGCTGCACCTTGTCCCTCCCTCCCCGTCCGACCACCCCGGACAACCACGACGTCGTGCATCCGAATCGAGCCGAATCCTCCCGATATGTAGCTCATCACATCCACATTATCTCGCTTCCTCGAGAAGATGCGGCGCACGTCGCGGCGCCGCGCGTGGAGGGAATGTCCGGCGGGTACGTCAGGGGAGGGAACACCTGTCGTGCATGGCATGGCTTGGCGTGGACTCGGAGGCAGGCATCATCGTCACGTTGACCGGCCTTTTGACCCAACTCCGTCGATCTCGTCAAACAATCCTTCGAATCTAGCGCTACCTTAACAACAAAACGATCGAGCACGACACCACCAGCTTTTAGTGCCAAGCAACGTACGGCACGTAGGACATGGTAAAAAAGTCACGGTGAAAAAACTTTCTTCTCAATCGCGTTCACGCGTTGTACAGTGTTTTCAAGGAAAATGGCGAAATGCTGGGAGGAAAAAAAACGATGTTTCTTGTTCTGCTAGGGCGGCGATCGCCGGGTTCGATGAGCATTTACCCGCTGTGCATGGCCGCCCTGGCGGTGCGGCGGCCGAAGTGCGACGTGGAGGACACGTTGAGGCCCTTGGCGAGCCGGTGCAGCCCGGGGTTCAGCCGGACGCACCCCATCAGGCTCAGCCCGGGCCGCGCTGCGCCGTCTTCTGCCCCGGCCGTTGCCCCGTACTTGCCCTGCTTCTTCTGCTTCCCGCCCGCCGAGGCGTCGCCATTGGCAGTGGCACCCACGGGTTCCGTCTTCTTGACCGGCGTGCCCAGATGTTGCACCGGCGAGTACTTGAACACCGGCTCCCTGCTGATGGTGCTGCCGCCGGCGCGTCCTTTGGCCGATAGCCTCCGGAACAGGAGCAGGTCGCTGAGCCGCCATTTCTTCCTGCCGCCATTGTTCGCGGTCGGTGGGACGGAGCGTGGCCACGCGACGGAGTCGGGATTCATCGGCGCGGTGTCTGCTGCGGTGTCGGGGGCTGCGTCCTTGACGCCGGGGCCGAGGGGGGATGGCGCGGCCGCCTTGGACGCGTTCGCCATGGCTGTGGCGAACGGGTCGAAGTCCGGACCGGGCCCGGCCAGGCCCCGAAGCCGGGGAGACCACATCGCGGACCTGGCCGACCGTGGCGACGAGCCGACGCTGCCACCGTCCAGCAGGCGAGGCGGCGGCTTCAGCGGGCGGATCTTGCCTTCGTCGAAGAGCTCGTCGGCCGTCGTCAGCTGATCCGGCTCCTGCGCGCTCCGGTCCAGCAGGACGCCGAAGTCGAAGTCTGCGTTCTCACCATCCCCGGTCGCCGTCGCCGTCGCACCAGAGCCGACCCCGGGCTTGGGTGTTCCCGGCTTCTCCTCCCAGTCGAACGGCACGGCGGATTCGACCGTGCGGCGCGTGGAGAATGACGCGCGGGGCTGGAAGCCGTCGCCACCGTCGCCCGCGCCGGAGAACTGCGCGTATATGGCGGCCGCGCGCTCCGGGCTGGCGGGGGCGCTGGCGAAGTGCTGGAAGAGGTCGAAGGGGTCGGCGCCGTCGGAGAGGCCGTCGCCGGAGACGTCGGGCGGGAGGAGCCCGAACGGGTTGGGCGACGGGGGCGCGGTCATCGCCGTGGTGGCCAGGAACGGGTTGCCGGTCTCCAGTTCATCGGCGGAGCCAAACGGGTTCCTGATGCTCGAGGAGCCCACGGGGTAGGCGTCGTCGTCGAGGACCGCGCCATCGAAGCGGAACTCCGGCGGCGGCGTGGCGATCTCCATCGATCACGTCCGGCCGGCTAGCTCTGGGTCCGGGCGTTTGCTGGTACGTGTGCGCGGCGTGGTGGCGAGGAGCGAGGTTGGGATCGAGAGACCGGCCGGGAAGTAAGTATAAGGAAGGAAGGGAGGGAAGGAGGGAGGGAGAGGAGGCGAGAAATGATGAAAATGACGAACGTGGCGGGGACTTAAAAGGAAGGACGGCGGGATCGTCGCCCGCCATGTTTTGGTTCAGCTCCCCGCAACCATCTCAACACTTGTCGCCTCGATCGGGGGGACAAAAATCAATTGCAAGTGGGTGGGGGCGGCACAATTCAGCGTGTTGCACTACTCGGTTCACGCGCTAATGATCTCCCATTTAAACGAGTTTACCCATCGAGGTGGATCTTGAATGCTGATCAGTATTTTTTTTCTGATGAACCAAACTTTATTGTTGGAAAAGTTCAGGGCCTCTTTGATTCACATGAGTATTTTGAAAGCGCGAGAATAGAAAAGGTATTTAGGATTGGAGTGGCATGTTAAATCCAATAGGATTAGCAAGGAGTATTTGATGCCACAGAAAAAACAAAAGAAAATTGTAAACAGAGGTTTGAGTGGATGTTAGATTTCCTACGAAACGTAGTACTCCAAGCATGCAAAAGATTCCACAGGAAAACCAAAAAAATTGTAAAAAAAGGTTTGAGTGGGGTGAAGAGTACAAAATATTTCATAGAAATAAATTCCTATGGGATCCAATCCTATAAATCAAAAGGCCAATGTAGGAAAAAAAATCCTATGAATATCAATCCTCCAAAAATCCTACATAATTCCTTTGAATCAAAGGAGCCCTCGGATGGTGTGGGATACAAAACGAATCATGGAGTTCGACCAACCAAACATGTCGACCCAGATCCAGAGAATGGGAAAACTTGCCTAAACTATCAGCATCGCCATTAACAATTCTGCCTTCGAAACTAAAAATATATTTTAAAGAAGATCTCTGTCTAATCTCACTAATAATAGCTCCATGCCCTCCTTGACCAACTATTTCAATGTCATTGATCACCTGCTTGGAGTTCGAGGCAATGATAACGTTCCGAAGCATCAAATCCTCTGCAAGAGATAAACCTTCGCGGCAAGCTATTGCCTCGAGTGTCGTCACATCTATTATGCACATGCCACCAAAGCTGAGTTGCCCATATAATTTCCAGGAGCATCACGACAGACTGCAACAACAGATCCTCTTGCAAGCGATCATGAAATTCATGCATCAACGTGGATCTCAGCAAACCCGGGCGGGGCGCGCTTTAGGTCTAACTGTTACAACTTTGGGTACAACTAGAGCCTTACTCAACTTCGTCGACAGTACCTCGAGCATGCTGATCAGTAGAGGACATGTTTGATTACCTGCATCCCCAACCAGGCCCGAGATGTGTTTTGGCCCGCTTGTTTAGCTAAGCTGCATCCCGACCCTCCCGTTAAAGGAATTGCATCTTGACCCACATGAACCCCAAAGCACCTCACAGTCATGTCTGATAGAAACGTCCGAATCAACAGTTTTCACTCAATTCACTCGTCTTGTGAAGGCAGGGGAACGCGGCGCCGAGTTCGTGTGAGCAGCAAGATGTTGTGAGCTCGCACGTGTCCCAAAAAATTGGCGGGCGTAACCCAGTCACCTCCCGCCGACTGCCTCCACTTATTTAGCTCCCTTTAGGTCACCATCCAAACCCGTGCAATCACCCCCCTTTGAGCTCTCTGTGACCAGGTTGCTTCTTCACCAACAAGCATTTAAGCGATGACATCTCCCTGACTAGTTGTGGTTGGTGGCGGCGATCCTTCTTTCCCCTCTTCTCCAAGTTGTTTCCTGCCTCCTCCCTGCTACTCTGATGGTTGTAATTAACATCACTCCTATTCGTTTAGTTGTTGTCCTAATGCAACTTGCATTTTTTAGGCAACCAAACAAACATAAACAACATGGCCTATAACCTATATTAGCTCAAACAGGGCCTACTGGGTCACTGATGTAAGCAAGAAAAATATGTGCAGATAACCAAACATGCCCAGTGAGTACTACAAAAGGTGAAAGAATTCCCGTAATCACATACAGGAGGTCATATTGCCTAAAAAACATACAGGAGGTCATATACCTAGCTTTTAGCGATTCATAAGGGCACATACAATTGTGCTATCTTTAGAAGTGTCACATAGGATAAATGTTGAGGCGAAAGACAAAGAAGTCAGAATAAAAGACAACTTTTCTTATATAAGAGACGAACTTTAAAAAAAATCAAATATACTTCATTTCTCAGATAATAGCTAGATCATTTAAAAGGGGATGAGAAAAAAGTCAGGGAACATAGAGTCCTAGAAACCAGAATTTTTCTCACTACAAAGGTTCTTTGCTAACTCATTGGCTACTTCATTTGCTTTTCGGAGGCAGTGAGTGTATAAAACCTTTGCGAAGTCCAGGGCTTGCTCCTTATATTCAAGCACAATAGCCACATCAGAGCCCACATGATCTTCTGCGTGTTGCACTGCCTCCACTTCAAAGTTGATGTCTGATTCTATCAAGGTATTGCTCCCGATTCGTCCTTCTAGATATTCCCGATTCGTCCTTCTAGATATAGCCCGTTTAAGAGACGATCTCCTAGAAACAATACTATAATCACATATCTAGGGATATCTAGTTACCAGATATGACACTAAAAGATATCTCATCGTATACCATTTTTTGCTGCCACTTATACATTACGTGGCGACCTTATGATAAGACAGTCTTACCAAGGCAAGACCAACATCGATCAAACATGCACGCCTCCTTTCATTGACAAGCAACGAGCTTTGACAAAAGAAAAAAAAGAGCGGCAAGCAAAATGCATATTTTTTTTCTATTTCATCGTTTTCTACTTTTGTTTATATTTCAAAATTTAATTAATTTATCTTTAGCTCACATAATATTTATCAATGTTATGTAAAAACTTTGTTTGCGCTTTTTTTAAATCTTTGTACCATTCAAAATAATATCCGTGACATCTATAGATGTTCAGACATTTAATTATTTTTTGCATGACATTGTTTTAAAAATGTTTATGAAATCATATAAAAATCATGTAATTTAAAAAAAATGTTGATACGTTTACAAGTATGTTTTGTTTCATTTAAAACGAATGTGCCTGAATTGTAAAAAAATGTTCATAACATACAAAAAATGTTTGTGACATTTTAGAAAAATGTTCAATTTGTATACTGAAAATATTCAACGCGTGTTAAAAAAGTTAGCATGTATTTTAAAAAAAAAAAGAAAAGAAAAAAGTAGTCCGTCCCAAAGTTATTTTTCTTGAGGCGAGAGCAAATTTCATCTCAGGGATGTATGGCATCAGGATGAGACAGAAGGTCAATCCGCCTTCTAGTGGGCCGTAATGAGACAGGCAAGTCAGGCAGTCATTCCACAATAGGCTCGATGTATCCAAAAGTTCGACCCAAAGTGATTTTCATACTTTTCCCAAACCATTTCTTGGTGTTTTCACCAAGTGGCGCGCACCGCCAAAATGCTGCATTTACGCCACTTGCCGCAACTAGGAGTTTTTTTTCCTCATAGATTCGTTTATTCAAAACATTTTATCTTTTAAACCATGCGTTCAAATCCGGAACTATTTTTATCATTGGATTTCTCGCGTTGGGCTTCAAAACTACATCTCATGTTAATAGGTTTCGACGAACCTTTTTTCTCATGGAAAAAAACTAAAAGAAAAAACCGGAGCCGGTAGCATATTTTTTCCTACATTTTCCCCTTTCCGAGAGGCACAACTACGCCTCTCGCGGAAGCAAATCTGCGCCTCTTGCGGAAGCAAAAAAACATATTTTCCCTTTGCGAGAGGTACAACTGTGTCTCTCGGGGAAGAAAATACGTGCCTCCACGAGAAGCAAATATATGCCTCTCACGAAAGCAAAATAATAATAAATTTTTTCCTTTTCTGAGAAGCACAACTCTGCGTCCATGAGAAGCAAATATGTGCCTCTCATTGAAAATAATAATAATAGAAAACATGTTTTTTTCCTTTTCCGTGCCTCTCAGGAAAGCAAACATGTGCCTCCACGAGAAGCAAATATGTTCTCCAAAAGTAAAATAAAACACATTTTTTCAATTTCCGATGCCTCTCGCAGAAGTAAATTTGTGCTTTTTCGCGCATTTTTTCCCCATTTTTTCATCAAAAACCTAGGGAAAACCAGGCAGAAACTGAAAATTCCCCGAAAACAACCCATCTAAAACCTAAAAACGCGTACATAAAAATAAAGCCCCGCAAGGGGTAACCATTGATTAGTTGCTCCGGGACACCCGTCCTACGCAAATGGGTCGTCCCATCTTATATCGCTAGTATGGCTGTAATGGCACCATAACATAATTTGTGGCACACTTCAGGTTTTATGAAGCTTCTAGAAGCTTTTGAACTGATTTTTTCTTTCTTATGCCATTTGTCGTTTTATGTTTGCGTTTTTTTTCCTTTTTCATTTTCCCTTGTTTTTATTTTTCTCCTTTCTAAATTAGAGATTTTTTTAAATTGGTGAACCTTTTGAATTGGTGAATATTATTCAAATGCGGGGTTTTTCAAATATATCAAAAAATGCCTAATTATTTTAAAAATCAGAATTTTTTTATTCTTTATATTTTTAAAATTAAGATCATTTTTCTGAAATTTGTGAACTTTTTTCAAGTCCATACACTTTCTCTAATTAATGAACAATTTTCAAATTTATGGCCTTTTTCCAAATTAGTGAACATTTTTGAATTCATGAACCTTTTCAAATTCACTTTTTACTTGTATTTTTCCAATTTCACATTTTTTAAAAATCCCCGATCATTTTCCAATTTTGTTATATATTTTTTTCAAAATTAAGTTTCCTTGTGGCCCGCTTTAGGCGCGTGTGAGCGCCAATTGTGTTTAGACCAGGAAACTTGAGTTTTGTAGTCTAGCATCTACAGAGTCGAGACTGGACTAGATATCGAATGGACACATTACAACGAGAATTCAACCAAGAGTTGCAAAGCTCCAGACTTCTCCAGTGTACACGCTACAAACACGTCCGTAAAACGCCAAAACTTCAAACGGGTGCACCATAGCTCACTCTCACACACCCCACGCCCTCCCAACCACACGATTTTCCCCCCGTCGAAAATCGATCCAGAGCTAAAAAAACCAAGGATTTTCCTCCTCGCCTCCCTTCTTCTTCCAGCCCAAGCAAGCAGGCAAAACCCCAGAGAAAAAGCCCAGCAGCAGGGAGAGCCTAGCCGCATCCATCGATCGAATCGAGCCGAGCTACCACGCACGCACGCACGCCGCCACGTCTGCCTTGTGCGGCCCTGCCCCCTCCCCCAATCCACCCCACCACAGGCAGAAGCAAACCCCAGCCAGAGCCGACGGCAAGCTGGACACCCACGCCATGGAGCGGGTGGCGCTGCTCCGCACCTCCGGCCGCCGCCTCCTCCAGCGCTGCGGCAGGCCCAGGCCCCTCGTGCCCGCCGCCTCCTCCTCCGCGCCGCGTCGCCGGTTGACCTCCTCCTCGTCGGCGGCGTCGTCCTGCTCCTCCTCGTCGCGCGGCGGCTCGTCCTGCCTCCTGGCCGCGGCCGCGCCGCTGCACCTGCACGCCGCGGGGCGGTACTGGCCGCTCACCGCGCCCGGCTTCGCGAGGCGCCTCTCCGTCCCCGCCGTCTCCACCTCGCCCTCCCCTGTGCCCAGTGGTGAGCTTTTGCCCCAACCCGTCTATCTGCTTATGGACTGTTTTACCTGCAGTTTCCATGTCTCTAGTAGCGTCTAGGTTGCATTGCGTTGAGTCTCGGATCTCTGCATCTGTATGCTGCTCTGCTCGTTTATTTGTTATGGGATAGCTGGAGATACACTGCTTGTTATTCAAGTAACCTCTGTTGGGAATATGATAAAAAGTTGTAGCTCGAGAATGAATGTGCCAGCGCATGACCTTTTTTCATTATTCCGTAAGCAGACACCGATGATGTCCATGAGTATGCGGCAAAGCTAGGCTTCGAAAAGGTATCTGAACAAGTCATAGACGAGTGCAAATCAGCTGCTGTTCTCTACAAGCACAAGAAGACAGGCGCAGAAGTGATGTCCGTGGCAAACGATGATGAGAATAAAGTGTTCGGCATTGTATTCCGTACCCCTCCGTAAGTGCATCTAGTCCTTGCCTCGTGGTGTCATTGATGTTATATTATCACGCAAAAAGCAAAGCAGGGAAACTTATTCACAGATAGGAAAGATGTAAACAGCATAACATTGCATGCAAGCTGTTATGTGGTTTCTGAATAAGTTTCCTTTATTACCAGGAAAAATTCGACTGGCATACCTCACATTCTTGAGCATAGTGTTCTCTGTGGATCAAGAAAGTACCCTTTGAAAGAGCCATTTGTTGAGCTCTTAAAGGGTAGTCTGCATACTTTCCTGAATGCGTTCACCTATCCGGATCGGACGTGTTATCCAGTTGCATCAACAAACACCAAGGTGACACCTATTCTATTAGTCACTGATTTGCTCCAGCCATTTATTCAGCACCACCTTTTGTAGCATTATCATAATTTCTGTTGTTGTTTTGCAGGATTTCTATAACTTGGTTGATGTATACCTTGATGCTGTATTTTTCCCTAAGTGTGTTGAGGACTTCCAAACATTTCAACAGGAAGGTTGGCATTATGAGCTTAACAGCCCCGAAGAAGAGATATCCTACAAAGGTTTGATTACTCAGGCTATTTTAGCGAAGCAAATACATTCGGATGTGAGCTAGGTCTGCTCATTCCTCAAAAGTCCCTGAATGCAATGCTTTAACATTTGACTGTAGGTGTTGTCTTCAACGAGATGAAAGGAGTCTACTCTCAACCTGATAACATAATGGGCCGTGTGTCTCAACAGGTTAGCGATTTGTTCGATTCTGTTTTTCAGTCTGTGACTTCTATTCAGTAGGAGAGTTTGCTTATGTGTTACTTTTATCATCCTTGGAATGATACTGCGTTAGAATCACCGTGCTGTTTATTCTAATGTGTTCAGAATCTTTTCAACACATTTATTCCAATGATTGTTTCACCGTATAGTTGATCGGATTTGGTCAATCCCTGTATAGTTTTATCAGTTAGGACTAAATTCAGGCTTTGCTGCTTGACAAACTGCACGCCTTTTTTATGAGGAGCTGCTTATCTAAGAACTGACATGCGGGTCCAGGCTGTTGCATTTCCACCTGCATTCATTCTGCTTTTCTGATTGCTGTTGCAGTTCCACCTGTACATTAGCAAGTTGTAGTTTCAACTGTCTCTAGTCTATACTTCTGTAGTTGATGCTTCCTTGTTTATTAGTTTGTGTTAATAGTCCCAGTGGTGAATATCCCTTTGCGCTGTTCTCATCAGATCCCAGTTCTTTTTGCCAGTTTCTCATATCATTATTTTAGATGCAGTTGCTACAAGAGTACCTAACATATTTGAGCTTTCTACAGGCACTTTCTCCTGATAACACGTATGGTGTGGATAGTGGTGGGGACCCAAATGATATCCCAAAGCTTACTTTCGAAGAATTCAAGGTTTCCTCGGTTCTAATTTTCTATTTTCATGAAATGATACTTAGTTTGTCATTTTGCTCCTCTAGAAAACTATAAGTTTCAGTGATTTTTTTACTGGAAAGTAAAAGAGGAATGCTTCTAGGACCATCGAGTCCATTTTTCTATAGTAGTGCACCAACAAGCTAACATTGGTTAATTATTTTCTTCAAATTTTGAATCCCAACCTTTTGATGTCATATGTTCAGGAGTTCCACAGTAAGTTTTACCATCCGAGCAATGCTAGGATCTGGTTCTACGGTGATGATGACACAAAAGAGCGACTACAAATTCTAAGTGGTAATGTGTCCATATAGTAGTTAGTCGTGCTTATTTACAGGGTTGTTTTTTGAGCCTTTGGCTGTATTTTCTTTTTCTTTTTTTGACACCATTGTTTTTTTTCTTGTCTTGCCTCCCTTCTGTAGAATACCTTGACCTGTTTGAAGCCAGCCCTGCTCGTAATGAATCAAAGGTTATGCCTCAGAAACTTTTCAAAGAGCCAGTGAGGATTGCAGAGAAGTATCCTGCTGGCCAAGAAGGTGATTTGAAAAAGAAATATATGGTTTGCACCAACTGGCTGTTGTCAGAGGAGCCACTGGACGTAGAGACAGAGCTTGCACTTGGTTTCCTGGATCACCTGTTGCTGGGCACTCCCGCTTCACCACTTAGAAGAATTCTTCTTGAAAGTGGTTTAGGAGAGGCTATTGTGGGAGGTGGTGTTGAGGATGAGCTTCTTCAACCCCAATTCAGTATAGGCTTGAAAGGTGTATCTGAGGATAACATTGAGAAAGTTGAAGAGCTGGTTATGCAAATTTTGAAGAATTTGGCAGAGGAGGGATTTGCACCAGAAGCAGTGGAAGCATCTATGAACACGATCGAATTCTCTCTCAGGGAGAATAACACGGGATCATTTCCTCGAGGGTTGTCATTAATGCTTCGTTCAATGGTATGAAATTCGTGATATGTAAAAAAAGAAACAGACACATATGTTTGGGCATATTAATATTTTCTTCAACTTCACAACAATTGCAGGGAAAATGGATATATGATATGGACCCTTTCGAGCCTCTGAAATATGAACAGCCATTGCAGCAACTCAAAGCACGCATTTCAGAGAAGGGATCCAAAGCAGTATTCTCCCCGCTCATCGAAAAATATATTTTAAACAATGTGCATCGTGTCACAGTTGAAATGCAGGTCTATAGAGAACCTTCCACCTAAGAGTTCTGTATGAAATGAGCCTTTTGTTGTTACCTCTAACAATAATTTGTTGTGCAGCCTGATCCAGAGAAAGCTTCACGTGATGAAGCCGCTGAGAAAGAAATTTTAAAACAAGTAAAGTCTAGCATGACTCAGGAGGATCTTGCCGAGTTGGCACGTGCTACAAAGGAGCTGAAGGACAAACAAGAGACTCCAGATCCTCCAGAAGCTCTGAAAGCTGTTCCTAGCCTGTCGCTACAAGATATCCCTAAAAAGCCTATTCATGTACCAATAGAGGTAATTTTTTGACTCACAATATCCTTACATCGGCTGAAAGTACTAGGCTAGGTTGGCTAAAAATTATCGGTCAAGTTGTGCTATAGTAAATATGAATTCTACTTCAATATGAAGTCGGACCGTATCAGTTCTTAGTTTTCCAAATCCTGATTGGGAAAGAAACCAGAGGCCTGCTCACATAGGTCAAAGTTCAGTGAAAATTTCCTGTCTCTGCATTACTTAGCAAGGTGCTTTGTTCTTTAGCTACTGATTTGGGTGATATGATGTTTCCCCCTCAAATAATCTAGCATTTGGAAGAGTTAAGATTACTGTTCAGAACTTGATTGCACTGTAATATATGTAACTACTAGTAGTGGCTGATAGAGTTGATATGTGGTGACACGGTGATGTGGTCTGTCAGCCTCCTTCCTCCTCTCCCAAACCTTGCTTGCAGAAAAATGGAAATTTGACTCTGTGTTGACACAAAATGTCCTTTGTTCAGCCTAGGTAACTTCCATAAACAATAATTTGTCACCACAGCAAAAGCTAACTAGAGACTAGCAAATAGCCTCCTTACCATACATGCTCATTGATTGCCTAACTGAACAAGACAACCGATGTTACAGATTCTGTCCTGTAAATAGGTCAGAAGCTACATGTTCTGCCATTTGTAGGCCAAAGTTCAAAGTTATCAATCTAAGATTCTAAATCTTTCAGGATTATACTCAATTTCTATATCCTAGAATTCAATCTGGAGTTCAGCCGAACTAGGCATTAGTATATAGAGAAGTTCCTTTCAAAAAGTAGAGAGGATGGTTTGACGATGTTGGATGCATGAACTATTTATTAGGAGGTTGCGTTACCATTTTGTTTCCCGAGGAGGCCTGTTTCTACCATCTCTTTACTTTATTGCTTTATCAGTTGAAATAGTATAATCTTCATTTCTAGAATTGTGTATTTAGGTGGGGGAGATAAACGGTGTCAAGGTCTTGCAACATGATCTCTTCACCAATGATGTAGTTTACTCCGAAGTTGTATTTGATATGGGTTCTATGAAGAAAGAACATCTACAACTGTTGCCTTTGTTCTGGTGAGATCCCCGAAGTCCGATCAATACATTATTTCTATTTACCATGAAATGCTGAATATATTTTGCTGTTCTCTCTGAAAATATACTACGTGGTATTTCAACTAATTGGATGTTCATTCTAGCCAATCCTTACTGGAGATGGGCACGAAAGACATGGACTTCGTGCAGCTTAATCAGTTGATTGGGAGAAAAACTGGAGGCATATCAGTTTACCCATTAACATCTTCAATAAAGGGAACAGATGATCCTCTTACTCGTATTGTCGTTCGGGGAAAAGCAATGTCAACGCGAGTAGAAGATTTGTTTCACCTGGTATGTTTATGATCTTTGTCTGTGTAGATCATACTACCAAAGGCAATGACAGGGTGGAGGACATGCTTAATCTGTTTAATGCTCATCCCAGTTACTGATCTTACATCTGCATCATGAAAATAAATCCTTGTTCTGTTCTTGCAGATGAACTGTCTTCTTCAAGATGTTCAGTTCACAGAACAACAGAGGTTCAAGCAGTTTGTTTCCCAAAGTAAAGCAAGAATGGAGGTACAAAACTAGTATATTTGTGATTCATATTACTATATGCATGCATGCATTTTGTTGTCTAATGATTTCTCGGACACAGAATCGATTGAGGGGTAGTGGCCACGGTATAGCAGCTGCCAGAATGGATGCCAAGTTAAATGCAGCTGGATGGATTTCAGAACAAATGGGTGGTGTTAGGTAAGATTCTTTATGTTATATACACTCCATTTGCAGATTGTTAAGTCAGCTGGTTATTGAAATGATTATGGCCTTGTGAGCATACTTACATGACTACATGTAGTGTACCATAGCTTGCGCTTTTGATACTCAGTCTTGGTTGCTTAATATTAATATGCTTCATTGTGGTCTTAGCAACCCACCATTAGCTATTATTTTGATCCACATGGCATTCTGTTTTTGATTTCACATGTTGATTTATTTGTTGCCATTGCCAGTTATCTTGAGTATTTACGAGACCTGGAGACGAGGATTGATCAAGATTGGGACAGAATATCTGCATCACTCGAGGAAATGAGGAAGTCTCTATTTTCTAAGGAAGGTTGCTTGATAAACATAACCAGCGACTCAAAAAATCTTGAAAAATCTGGTCAACATATTGCCAAATTTCTTGATGCACTGCCAAGTGCCCCATCCCTGGGAAGTGATCCATGGCTCTCTCGACTGCCTTCTGTTAATGAAGCCATTGTTATCCCTACACAGGTAAGGATAATTTGTCTGGTTCTCTGACATTAGCTTTGAGCAGCTATTGGAAGATGATTATTCCCTCTTTGACATACTGAATGATCCTCAATTTATCTGTTGCCTGAAGGTTAATTATGTTGGAAAAGCTGGAAACCTATACCAAAGTGGATACCAGCTTAATGGAAGTGCCTATGTCATATCCAAGCACATAAGCAACACATGGTTATGGGACCGCGTTCGAGTTAGTGGTGGCGCATATGGAGGGTTTTGTGAATTTGACACTCATTCAGGTACTTTGATCTTATACCTGTTCTTGCCCCACTTACATTCATGCCAATAGTTAAGTACCTTACACACTCTGTGCTGGCTCTACATTATCGTAAATATTTTGTCTCCTTTTGGCTTTTGCAGGGGTCTTTTCCTATTTGTCATACCGTGATCCGAACTTGCTGAAAACACTAGATGTCTATGATGGGACTGCAAAGTTCCTCAGAGAACTAGAGGTAGATGATGATGCTCTCACAAAAGCTATTATTGGAACCATAGGGGATGTTGATTCCTACCAGCTACCAGATGCTAAAGGTTACAGCAGGTACATAATCATCCTCTCTATTTTGCATAGTGCACAATAACCAACCCCCATTCGATGATGTGGATATGGGCTTATGAAAACCAGTGGCTTATTGCTGGTCCATATTGCTTGAAATTGTGCCCACAAAGATTCTTTTATAAGAATATCGGTGTTGATACCCAACCTAGAACATTTGTTATGCATGTCCTTACGTATTGATTGTTCTTTGTTGGAGATAACCCACCCTTTCTTAGTATTGTTTGCAACCAAGTTAAATCTTGACTTGGATCATGGTTGCAAACACATACATAAACAAGACAAAAATATGCATGCATATAATATCATAGGCCATGAAGGAATACATAGAGTAATAAATTGGATTTTGCTGTTTTCAGTCTGATGCGGTATTTGTTGGGAATCACTGAGGAGGAACGCCAGCAAAGGCGCGAAGAGATACTCGCAACCAGGTAGATATTTCTATGGTCTAAATTGCACATTCCTTGAGCACACTTTACAGAATCGTCCCAGGTATACGTATTTGTGCAAAATCTCTTATCATGTTGTTTCTTGTGTGGCAGCGTGAAGGATTTCAAGGAGTTTGCCGATGCTGTCGAAATGATCAATGACAATGGGGTTGTGGTGGCCGTAGCATCGCCTGACGACGTCGAGGCAGCAAACAAAGAGAAGTCGTTATTTTCAGACATCAAAAAGTGCCTGTGAGGCCTCTCCATTCCCACCCAGGCAGGGTTCAGTCGGGGGCCTGCGCCGAGCAGAGGTTCTTCAGCGTTTTGCTTCACTGATGAAGAATGGTCTGGCGCTGTAACATGAGTTTGCGTGGCGAGAGCACTGATCACCTTGTCTGTAGCCCGGTTACGGTTGTTTATTTTTCGCGCCCATTTTTAGGGGAAATAATTAGTTGAGGGTGTTGAGCGAAGCACAATAGTTAAACAGAGTTCCATTGCTGCCTTTCCCCCTCTGCAATCAGTGCTCAAACAAGCCGGTTGTACACCAAGTTGCTGATAGGAGATTAAGAGCTGATGAGAACCTGCTCAAAATTTAGCTGAATATTCTGTAACTTGTTATACCAAAGATATAAATGTTTTCGCAGCTGGGTTGATCAAGGTCCTTTCTGAACATAAATCCCTGGAAATGCTAGGGATCACACTACTTTCTCTAGAAATGCTAGGGATCACACTACTCTCTAGGAACCGCTAGGGAACACTACTGATCCTTATCAGACCTTCTCGACCGTAAGATTAGAAGCATCACAGTTGTTGGATGAGTACGGTGGGTCCTATGCACCTCTCGTGGGCCTTTTCTAAAACTGAGCGCTAATTAAGTGGGATTGCTATTAACAACCGACCGATTTAACATCTCCTTATGCTCAAAAAAAAAAGAGATTTAACATCTCCTGATTTCTGCAAGAATTGAGGGCTCCTTTAATTCAAAGGAATTCTTTAGGATTTTTGAAGGATTGAAATTCTTAAGAATTTTTCCTATGTCGGCCCTTTGATTCATAGGATTGGATTTCATAGAAATTTATCTTATGAAATCTTTTGTACTACATTTCATAGGAAATCTAACATCAACTCCAACCTTTTTTTATAATTTCTTTATTTTTCATGTGGCATCAAAACTCTTTGCTAATCCTATAGGATTCAAGTTGACATGCCACTGCAGTCCTATACTTTTTCTATTCCTACATTTTCAAAATCCTGTGAATCAAAGAGGCCCTGAATTGTAAAATTCCTGCCTCCGAAGACAGCCATCAAGGCAATAATAAACTTACAAAAGCGTCTGATCATTTATCTTATCTTCACTAGTATAACTCTCCAGGCAGCTATGGTTTACTATAGCGCTAATAATTACTTCTCCCAGTTAGTGACAACAATGATCGAATTTGAGGAAACAAGTTACATGTGTGACATACAACAGGGAACGAATTCGAGGAGAAACCAATCCTGCTGAGACGAACAGGCGAGTAGTACATATCGTCTCATTTCCTGCCGCTCTGCTGCTGAGCCTGGTGCTGCTGCCTGTGCAGCTGCGCGGACGCGATGGCCAGCATCGACCTCACCTTGGCGACCGCCGCGGCGTTCTCCGGCGGGCAGCTGGCCAGCGCCGCCCGCAGCGACCGCACGGCCGCGTCCGGCCGCCCGGCCCCGAGCGCCGCGCACGCCGCGCGGTACGCCTCGTCCGCGACCCGCGCGTCGTGGCAGGCGGCGGCAGGGGGAGGAGGCGCCCGCGCCGCGGGCGACGCCTCCTCCTCCTTCTCTCCCTTGCCGCGCGGAGGCCGCGAGGAGGTGGAGGCGGGGGCGGGGTCGAGGAGGGCGCAGGCGCGGGCGTACTCCGTGGAGGCGATGGCGGCGTCGATCTGGGACATGAGGGACTCGGGATTCGAAGGGAAGCTCCGGATCGCGTCGAACGGGCTCCAGCCCCGCCGCCCGCCGCCGGCGCTGCCCGACATGTCTGCAGCCGCGGTGCGGATTGGAATTGATGGGTAGTGGTAGTGGCGACTAGCGAGGAGGAAGAGGGATGAGGGGGGAGGTAGGTAGCTCGAGTCTAAAAAATAGTACTGCGTTATGGTGCCTGATGTGTGGCCAAGCCTAAAAAATACGTACAAAACATTCTAATAAACATAATAAAATTATATTCCCTCCGTCCCAAAATTCTTGTCATTTGTCTAGATACGGATGTATCTAATACTAAAATATACTCTCTTTTTTTCGAGAAGAAGATTATTTGATGTCCATGAACCAACCATTGACACTACCGCCACCAGCGCGGGCCGCTGACGTGTTATTGTTGTCCTTTCCCTATCAGAGTCGACCGTGGCAGATCTAGATTAGGACATTAGGCACGAGGCCCAAATCCTTCACATACTGTAGCAGGATCCGTCCATGAGAGTTGGCCTGCCATTATTGATGACAACCGGGAAATCACAGTGCACGTGTGCTAACAACCATTGCAGCCGAAGTTGTCACCGTTGAACCCTTGAATCAATCTAAAGCGTATAACATCAGATCTTGTCATCGCGCACACATGACAAAAACCCTAGCCTTATTGCTCCAAGGAGGCAGCAATAATCTACGACGAAGCTCCATTGACTCCGTCCCGAAAGACGAACTCAAGAAGGATCGAAGCCCATGAGACCAACTCAAAAGTGAATCGTTGACATTCGCCCGAGCGCTCTTCCTGCAAGGACTAAAATCTCCTAATCTAGACTACTAGCCAAAACAATAGCATCAGTACTCTCCTTCCGACCACCGCGGCCACAAAATGACAAATAAAGGAGAGGCGAATCCTAGGCTCGTTGATGAAGCTTAGAGGGGACAAGGTCTTTGCCCTAGCCACCACTGTCGTGACGGGAAAGGAAAACGAGTTTCGAACTATTGTATGTCTAAAAAATAATAATCTGACTAGGCTGAGCTGGGCCACTTTTATTTAATGAATATGTCAAAAATGTCAAGAAAAAGAAAAAGAAATAAAATGAATGTAGTCTCATGTAAATGAAAATCATCCGTTTGTTTAAATCTCATTTGAAATGTATGAGAACGGGTTAGACGTGGACAAATACAGTGTTGAAGATAAGCTAAGTTGCTCAAAGAAAATATCTACATTAGTGTAAAAAAAAATGCCTTACGGATTGACACTTGTGCCCATCTCTCCCGTGCCGCTCCTGCGAGCGGCCCGGGCGGATCCCTAATCCCCGCCGCCGCCACCCCCCACCTCCCCTCCCCTCCCTCGCCGCTGCCAGCGGACGCCGTCGGGCAAAGCCCGTGCGTGCTTCGGCGGCGGTGGGGCCCCCCCTTCCCTCGAGGCTCTCCGGCGGTGCGGGACGCCTTCCTCTTGGGGTCAGGCAAATCGGCGGCGGCGCGCGTCTGGCCTGTGTCAGCGTGGTCTGATGGTGCTGGCTGGAGCGGGGCGGTGCTCCGGGATGGCGCGGCCTGGCGTGGTCCGGCCGGATCTGGCGGCCACGGATGGCGACGCTCGGAGGTTGGAGCTGGGCGCTGCTCGGGGGATGCGGCGCGCGGCGGCGGCCAGCGGTCGGTCCTACGGGAGCTGGCGGTGCAGGGACCGGTGGTGCCGCGGCGACTCGCCCCCGGCGGTGGTTGGCTAGGGGCGGGTCGGTGGTGCAGGCTGGCGGCGCGGGTCCGGGGATCTCGGCCCGGATCTGGTGTGCGTCGGTGCTGGCAGGCGTCCTTGGGGTGCTCACGGCAGGGAGTGCGGCAGTTGTCCCCGAAGCTTTACGTGGGGCGTAGCAGGATGGAGGATGCTGGTGGTACACCGACACTGGCGGTGGTGGCGGTGCGAGCGCAGCCATGGCGGCGGCGGCGCTGCGAGGCCTGGCCAGGAAGGGTCTTGGCGGGCGGGCGTTCGGCTGCTGCCGTGTGAGGCGTGCGGCGATGCCTCGGCGGTGTGGGTGCCGGAGTGTGGTCGGAGGTGCAGGTCAGATCCATTCTGGTGGCAGTCCCCTGGCGCGGGTGAAGGCCACCGTGGCGGATCTCGCTGTGCACCGCTCGGTGGTTGCTGCGGTTCCTAGTCGAGGTTGAAGGTGATGGCTTTAGTCGTGTTCCCTCAGCAGTGAGGGGGGCTTCGATGGCAAGTTGCTGCGGTGACGGCGGTGTGAGGCATCTGATCGGGACTGGCCGGGATCTTGGAGACGTAAATCAGTAAGAGACATCGTAGATCACAACATATCTAATAAAGTACGATTACGACGTTCGAACACACCATTACGCTGTAGTGTTCCAGGTGGCGTGAATTGCGAAATTATTCCACATTGTTTCAAATGAAGGCCAAACTCGCAACTCAAATATTCGCCTCCGCGATCAGATCGTAGAGACTTTATTTTCTTATTACGATGAGTCTTAACTTCACTCTGAAATTCTTTGAGCTTTTCAAACGTTTCAGACTTGTGTTTCATTAAGTAGATATACTCATATCTGCTCAAATCATCTGTGAAGGTCAGAAAATAACGATACCTGCCGCGAGCCTCAACACTCATCGGACCGCATACATCGGTATGTATTATTTCCAATAAGTTAGTGGCTCGCTCCATTGTTCCGGAGAACGGAGTCTTAGTCATCTTGCCCATGAGGCATGGTTCGCAAGCATCAAATGATTCATAATCAAGTGATTCCAAAAGTCCATTCGCATGGAGTTTCTTCATGCGCTTTACACCAATATGACCTAAACGGCAGTGCCACAAGTATGTTGCACTATCATTATTAACTTTGCATTTTTTGGCATTAATATTATGAATATGTGTATCATTGCGATCGAGATTCAATAAACCATTTATATTAAGTGTATGATCATAGAAGGTTTTATTCATGTAAACAGAACAACAATTTTTCTTTGACCTAAATGAATAACCGTATTGAAATAAACATGATCCAATCATATTCATGTTGAAAGTGCGTTAAGTCGACTAGAGGGGGGGTGAATAGGCGGTTTTTATAAATTCTTCACTAAGGAATTTCAGGGTGAGGAAATTCTTAAGCGAAGAACTACTTACAGCGGAATGAGTACTCAGATGCAGACATGACATAACATAAGCATGGACATCATGATGAATTGAAAACAAAACACAGAGTATAGAAAGCGTAAGCACAGGATAAAACAGAACGAAGACAAATAGACTGAAGAAATTAAACTGTGGAAATAGAGAATGTCTTCAGTCAAAGTCTTCAAACAGATATGAACAGGTACACAAC